TCAACAAACGAATGGATAGAGAAGCTGTGGTATATTCACACAATGGAATACTACGCTGCATTGAAAAACAAGGAACTCATGCAATATTATTCAAAGTGGGTGACCCTGGATATTATACTGAGTGAAATCTCAGTCACAAAAGCACAAATACTGGATAGTACCACTGCTGTAAAACAGGACTGACATCGTCGTTAGGGGGAGACTGAGAAAGATGGGTTCAATAATATATACTGCATTGAAACAGATGAGGGAGAAAACTTTTAAAAGGGATATGTGATTATGTATTATTGTCATAACTGGAGTCCAGAATGAAGGCTGCATAGTGGAGTGGACCTGGGGGGAGGGATTGTAAAACAATGAAAGAATTTTTCTTTTACTTTCCAAAGAGAAGAGTGTACTGGCAGGGAGGGGTGGGCAGGGAGAAGAGTACAACAATGAATGACTGGAAATCCAAAGTCTCTGTAAATTTTAATTGACATTAATAATAAAAGAAATTTAAAAAAAAGAATGAGCTGGATAAAGGCAGGTAAAATTAAAGAGAAAAATATGAAGGACATTTAGAAGAAAAATACTTGATAGATTTTAGTTACAAAGAGAAAAGCATACATTGTTAACCTGCTATAGCAAATTCAAGAATTCCCTGATGATGTGGATAACTGTGTCTGCATATATGCATTTTCTCCAAGTAGGTACTGGTTCACAGCATTCACTAGATTCCCCAAGAGCTCCATGGCCCCAAGTAAAGAAGTCAAGAACTACTAAACCAGAAGTTTGGAAATCTATGGTTCTGAGACCAAGCATGAGAGTGATGATGAAGGTGACAAATGAGTTGGAAAAAATGATGACTTTCATTTTGGACAACCTGAATTTTAGAGACCAGATGAAACTACAAATAGCATTCCTGACAGGCAATTCAGACATAGACTGAAGAAAGGCTGAGAGGCTAGGACTGGCTCATTGATTTGTGCATCTTCATACACGTGACCATGGAAACCTTTTAGCAGAATTCCTAAAGGAGAGGACGACGTTATCAGTGGAAAGGTCAGGTAAAAAAGGAAATTGGAGTAAGGAGCACATACTGTACACAGAAAAATCAACATCGCAGAGGATCTGGTTGATGTTGTTGTTGTTGTTATGTGCCGTCGAGTCATTTGCGACTCATAGCGACCCTATGTACAACAGCCCTAAACCCTGCTCTATCCTGTGCCAATTGCATTGCCTCTGACACACCCATCCCGAT